TTTTGAATTGTAAAAAAAAAGTTTGTATTGCAAAGCTATTTGCAAAGTGTATTACATATTTTGTCTCTATAGTTCCACAAAATGATATTTTCTAGATGGATTCATTCATCTAGTCAAAAAATAAATAAATAAATAAATAAATGCTTCTGTGCCAGGCACTGTTCTAAGATCTGTAAAGACCAAATAAAGCAAAGTCATTGCCCTGATGGAGGTTAATATTTTCATGGTCAAGATAAGCATTGTTTTACAGCCTTCCTAAGCTGAGCAGGTCCACTCAAGATTCAGGTGGACAGAAGAAGATCCATGGAGCCGTGGGAATGCTTGACATGCCTTCATTTGGGGAAGTCACACAGACCACAAGCCCACATCTGTCAGTGCCCCTTACCCCCAGGTGTCACACAGGCCACAAGCCCATGTCTATGTTGGCACCCCGACTCACTCTCTCTGTGAGAAGTCCCTACCTCTTTAGGTACTAGCACAAACAAAGCCAGCTTCAGGCCAAAAAGTGAAGTAACCTAGCATGAGTGTGCATGCGAGCCTACTCAAGGCTACAGGGCAGTTTATTGCACCCAGCCTGAGTTTCAGGCTCAAAGCTATGAGAACACAGTTTTATCAGACTCCTTCAAGGTTGTGAGAAACTGCTCCCCTTAGTTACCCAAGCACCTGGGTGAGGAAGCCAGACTGCCTCCACTTATGCTACAGACATATAATCAGTAAGCAACTAATTATTTGATGTGTCATAAGGTATTCGGTACTGTGGAAAAATAATGAAGCAGGTAAGGATGTAGGGTATATCAGAGGCAGGAGAAGGCATGCTGTTTTACTTAGAGTGGTAGGGAAAAGCCTCACTGATAACATGTTAATTTAACAAAGACTCAAAGAAGAGCAGCGGTACAACAAGGAGGTTGGGCCATATTGTAGGGGAACAGGGGGGACCACGATCTGTCACCGCTTCCACACAAGGAAAAGACTAGGGCGGGGATAAATGCTGAGGAGGCAGATTAAAACAGCAGACTATGAGAGCTTGACTTCTATGAAGAGAAGGGTGGCAGGAGAAGGTTGCCTCGAGTTAACTGTAAACAAATCAGTGTGCATTGCCTTGACAACTGAGCAGCTTGTGACCCAGCCAATGGGAGCTTACCTGAGGATGTGCCAGCCAAAAATCTTAATATATTCGTGTATGGTGGAAGTCAGCAGCCACAGTAGGCACCAGACACCCCGCCGCAGCCTGAGACACTGTGTCTTTCATGTGGCTAGGGATTCTGCCCCATTATGGAACATGGAGGCTGGAAGATGAGCAAAAATAAACATGACCAACATTGGCCCACATTGGTTGAAAAGCTGGACATTCCCACAGTGTGCGGAATTTTGGGAAGGGACTTTAAAACACAACGTGGGCAGGAGCATCTCTCTCTTTCTTTGCCCCATGCAAGTGGGAGTGCTTGAGGCTTAGGTTTTGCATGGTCGAGAGACAGCTAGCAGAGTTTGAGTCCTGCACTAGGATATGCCTCAAGGGGCACCAGCCCTTGGGCTTATCTTGAGAGCAGCACATGGAGATATAGGCTGGAAATATTCCTTGGCTCCAGAGGCACAGGCAGCCTCAGGCACTAAGGTCCTGCTGATGGAGCTTCCCCTCCATGGCCATCTGGAGTGATCTGCCAGGGCATCCCAGATCCCAGGAGAGAGAGAATGCTGTGGGAGGTGACGGCAATGTTGAGACCCGCAGGAGAGCACCAAAGAGAGACAGCCTGAGGATAGAGACCCGTTTGTATAGCCGTCTTGGGTCTCCAAAAGTGCAAATGAGCAATAATGGGAAACTTCTGGGCATGGGGCTGGACTTTAGTCATTCTAAGAACAAGGTAATTTCTGTGCTTTTCAGGAGAGGTTGGTTCAGTGCAGGAATCTCCCAGCTCCCTCCAATTGGGAACCCCATTAATAAAAATTTCTTTCCTTCCCCACAAATCTTCATATTATGTTTGTACATGGTGACAGGTAACTGGACCCCAGGCAGCACAGCTACAGTAGCAAGCCTTGTTGATAAGGAAATAGGAGAGGAGATTGTTTCAGACTGGAAACAATCTAAATTCTAAATTGAGAATGTGCTCGTCCAGTAAGAGAATTAGTCCTGGAAGGGCTTGAAGCCAGAGACATAGACAGGAGCCAGTTCCCATGAATTTAAGGAAGATCTATGTAGAACTTGTGGGCCAGAAGGGGCACTTTTATACAGTGACCAACAAGCTTAGGAAAGTACGCTTAACCAGTTTATAAGGCAAATAAGTAAAAATGAGATTTATTTATTCTGTCTTGGCCTTGACAAGTTAATAAGATTGATGATGCATCATGTTGGTGAAAGTGTGATAAAATGGGCCATAGCACATTTGACTCATAGAAAGTGCACATTTGGACAATTTTTTGAACAATATCTTACATGGAAAATGTAAATTTTAATGCATTTGGCCCTGTCACTTTAAGTTCTCAGAGTTTAGTACAATAATGCTATCAGAAAGAAACTTAAATATACATTTACAAGAAAAAATTTAATATAAAATTGCTTAAGAACAAAATTTTGAAATTACCTAATTTAAAATATATTCTATGCATCCACTAATAGTCTATTAGGCAGCCATTAACTATGGGAATAATCTATGGCAGATAGAGATATTTGAGATCTAATGTCTTTTTTTCTAATAGAAACACTTTTTTTTAAAAATTAGGCATGAGATAACATGCAATAAACTCTTCATTTCTCAGCTTTCATTGCAGCTATGAGTTACTTTGTGACTATGTTATGGTTAATGGCTATAGGAAGAAGCAGTTTTCTGAAAGGGAGGGTTCATGTGTTTTTCCATCTCTTCCTCTTTCTTACTCACTGGAGTGCTGGGCTTTAATAAGAGGAAAGACTGTAGCTGCAGCAGCCTCACTGAACCAAGAAGTGAACTTTGAAATCAAGGCTCTCATTGAAAAGTGGTAGAGTGGATGGCCAGGAGTGAGGGCACACAATGCAGACCGCACCACCTTACCACCACCAAATCAGCCCTAGAATGTTTTCCTCCAGAGTTTTAAGCTTATGTTGCTTCCATTACTGATATTTTATGTCTCTGCTACTCACTTTAATCCTAGGCAATCATTTAAAATAAAAATGCCATAGGAAAGCTTGTACAGTATGTTTCTAAATCTATGTGAGAGTCTGTATACATGGAAAGAGAGAGAGAGAGAGAGAGAGAGAGAGAGAGAGAGAGAGAGAGATACCAAGATGAAAAAGAAAGAGAAAATAAACCATTCTGTAGAACACAGATTTTCACTTTCTGTTTAAAGCTTACAAATATAATTGTGTATTTTACATAGTCTTAATGTTCCTTAGATTAAAACAAAGTAAAGCATTTTCAGTGCTTGTATAAATTGGCTTTCATCTACAGATTAAAAATTAAAATAATGAATACTTGCATGCAGACATAATATATTGGTAATATTTTAAATTTTTACACTTTGATAATTTTTAAAAGCAACTACTGAGGAATCAGGTTGGCTTTTAGATGTGTTTTTAGGTGAGCCTATAAGTGAGCTCACAAATAAACATTTTCAGATATTCTAAGGTTCATTAAAAATGACTCATAGTTCATTGAAAAAATATTAAGAATAGCCTATGGCTAAGTTAGAAATAAATTATTATAAATCAAAATTAAAATAAATGAGAGCTCAATCTTTACTTATAAATATGGATATTCTAAATCAAATATTAGTAATATTTCAACTAGAGAGCCAATAAATGATTCTAGGTGACAAAGAAAATTTTATCCTAAGAATATAATCATTGCTTAATATCAGGATACCTATTAATTAATGTAATATCAGTTGTTCAAATAGAAAGATAATATTTTCTTTCTATTTACTTTATTTGGTCCTTCATTTAATGGCCCAAAATAGCATTCACCACTGAGAGGAAGACAAACTATATGAATATAACAAGGCAAATATATACTATAAAAATTAGTTTAGATTAACAAGAGGTATTATAGTTAGTTATTAATTACTGGAAGCCTTTCCATTAAAATAATAATTAAGGATGCCCAGTATCACTATTTTAATTATTTTATTTTATCTAAAAGTAAACAATAAATATAGAACTTCATGAATGTAAAATAAAAGCTGTGAATATTGACAAGGTGGAGACAAGTCTAGATCTGCAGTTGATGAAATTTTATATGTAGGTTTTTTTAAATTTTAATCTCATTTATTTATTTTTATTAAATCATTTTCATTGTTATTATATTACAGTTGTTTCGGTTCTTCCCCCGTTACTCTCCTCTGCCCATCCCATCCCTGACTCTCACAGTCAATCCCTACACTGTTGTTCATGCCCATGAGCCATTTATACATGTTCTATAACTAGTTCTTTTCTCTTCTTTCTACGATTATCACCTGTCCCCCTCCCCTCAGGTCCCTTGCAGTCTGTTGCATGTTTCCATGTCTGTGGTTTTATTTTGTTTGTTAGTTTATCTTGTTCATAGATACCTCACAGGTGAGGTCATATGGTATTTGTCTTTCATCGACTAGCTCCTTTCACTTAGCATCATACTCTTCAGTTCCATCCATGCTTTTGTGCAGGGTAGGAGCTCCTTCTTTCTTTTTGCTGTGTGGTATGGTATTGTGTAAATGCATCACAGTTTTATGATCCACTCATTTACTGATGGATTTTTTTTAGAGAAAACTAAGTGAAAAATTCTGTAAATCAGTGAATTGTCAGTTCAGATCATGAATTAAACTATATATATTTAAGAATTAATAATGGCCGTCATTTACTTTTAACACTCACAGCAATGAATTAGTTTGAAACTATAGAGAAAAAAATTTTCATTCAAAATAGTAAGGAAATAACATTTGTCTAAGAATATTCTTATCTAAAAATTTGAGGAGGTTATATAAAGAAAAATACAAACCATTTCTTAAAGATAATAAAAAGCCGTGGCAGGTGGTTCACTTTGTTGCAGCATCAATCTGTACTGGGTTGTTGGTTCTATCCCCTGTCTGGACACGTAGAGGAGACAACCAATCAATGTTTCATTCTTACATCTCTCTCTCTCCCCCTACTTCCTTTCTCTCTAAAATCAATAAATATATCCTCAAATGAGGAATAAAAATTTTATAAAAAGATGAAAAATAATATATGGCTTAATGATTACATAAAACATAGCACTAGGTATCCAAATGTTCATCTTCACATCACATTCAAATCCTATTTTAATTGCCAGAAAATGTATATATCTTTCTAAACTTCACCTGGAAGCATGTACAAACATAAATAAGAAAAGTGAATAAAGGAAGAATAGTGAAGATTATAAAACCGCACTGATTAACAGTTATAAAACACGGTAGAGCCCTAATAGTTAAATCAGTTCATGTAACAGTATGACTTCTGCCATAAACAGTTGCTCATTATGTGACAGGCAGGACAGCAGGGAGCCAAAACATACACAAACCATCACACCTGCTCTGTACGAATCAAGTGTTGGTGTACACACTTTGTACCTGGAAACTGTCATCTGAGAGGTTAACTAATTTATTCTAAAAATGCCACAATTAATATTTCACAAATGCAGGATATAAAAAGACTTGTACTATATTGAGGATGCTAATCAGAGAGAATGATTTTTTTGTTTCTGTTTTCTAAACCAGATTTCCAGACACCTGCCTATTTTTGTGTTCTCTCTAAAGGAATGTCAGATTACCAATTGTATGCTTACATTAAGGCTATTGTTTTATTTTACTTTTTAAAGCTCATTTGAGTGGATTTTAATCCCTTATAGTCAAAAGATTCCTTAACATACAAACCAAAATCTAGTGTCTGTATTTATATCCTCCAAAAACAAATAGCCCAGTAATGTTAAAGACAATTCGTTAGAAAATGAAGCATGATTCTTGTGTATGTATTACATTCATTGAAAGAAATTCAATAATATCCTCAGTAATAAAAATCCATAGTTCACAGCAAAGAACTTATATATTTTAGAGGATTAAACAAATCTTAAAAAACAATTAAAAATTATAGATGAAGTAGTACCATACTTAAGTTTGAAAAATAGAAGCAAACAAAAACAAAAAGAAATGTAAATGAATTACTAAAAATTTGAGTGTTTTACATGTATCATACATGAAATTTATTACCAAACAACTAACGGAAAAATGTTTGCTAATATATGACCATTAGCTGTAATGTTATTATAAAGTCCTTACAGAAATTAGTAAAAAAAACACAGAAAACTTATAACAAAATAAAGATAACATAAGTTAATGATTCACATAAAAATAATAAAAATGTTAAAAATCCAATTATAATAACAAAAGAGTCAAATTGACTATTTCACTATTTTATTTATTAAATTAATAACTATTAAAAACTTTTTAATTTTTTGTCAGTCATTATCTTAGATTTCTTATGTGCATATAGTTTGGAATAAAATTTTGACAATAAAACAGGTAAAAATATTTTATACTTGCATCTAGAAATTCTACCTTTAGAAATACATTATAAGAAAATAAACTTATACCTAGACAAAGTAAAGGTGTAAAAATATCATCACACACTGTGTAGAAAATAAATATTTAAAAAGACATTAAAAGTAAGTAAAGTTTATTCCTGGCTGAGTGGCTCCGTTGCTTGGAACCTTTTCTGGTGTACCAAAAGACAGCGCGTTTGATCCCCAGTTGGGGTGTGAATGGGGCAATTGGTTAATGGGTGTTTCTCACATTGATGATGTTTCTCTCTCTCTTCTTCTCTCACTCTTCCCTCCCCTCTTGCTTCCTCTCTAAAATCAATAAACATATCCTGTGAAGAGTTTTAAAAAAATAAGTAAAGTTTGAACAATATATGTTATAGTGCCTGATGGAATGTTACAAAATTTAAAATAATATTTAGGGCAATTTTTTTTACTGTGATTAGTGAAGGTTGTCCTGAAAACAGAAGCAGAATTGATTGCTCCAAATTAAGGAACTTTTATAAAAATAAGTTGAATTTTTTTAACAAATAGAGTTACAAAAAGATTAAGAAGTGTCATTTCTTCATTAAACATCTTTTTATGTTTCTCTGTACTTAAAATGTGTTTTTCAATGAGTATGTTTTACCTTTATGATAAAATGAGAAGCCAAGAATACTTTTAATAAAATTTTATTGAGCATTAACTCAACAACAGTATGATAGTGACTTTAGCCTGGTATTTGGGGAAGGGGGGGAGTTGGAAATTTGGTACAAAAGCATTCTTTTTCTTCTATTTTCCCGAAATTTATTGGGTAACACTGGTTAACAAAATTATACAGTTTTCAGTGAACAATTTCACAATACATCATCTGTACACTGTACTTTGTGTTCAGCACCGCAAGTCAAGTCTCCATACAAAAATACCCTTGTTCAAAAATTAACTTTTTAAAGTAGTAAGTTCTTTAGTAAAATAGTAGAGACCATAATACCTCCATTTTTCCTGGAAAAAGTAAGAAAATAATATGAATATTAGTAACTGGAAATAAGATATAAATAGAGCTAATCTCCACTGTGAGATATATCTTCACAAAAGGGCTGTGTGTATGGCCATCATGTTCAAATGGGAAGATCTGTACTAGGGCCTCACATCCTCAGCTCAGATTCGTCAGTAGTCAGTTACACCATGGTACTACAGGCCTGCTCACAGAATACGGATGTGACTCAGCAAAGCTGCCTTCTTGAGAAGGAAGCCAAAAACCAGCTGTACAAAACCTGTCCAATTATTTTCTTTTGGGTATGCATCAGAACTAAATATTTTCTATTCACTGAGTAGGTTTTTGGGAAAAACAAGGGGTGAAATGTTTTCTATCTGGACTTATAATTTCTTATGCAATCATTATATTATGGTCAAAGGTGAACAGAGCCAGCGTTTTCCCTAGGGCCATTAAAAAAGGCAGACAAGGAGAAACTTAGTGATGAATGTGCAGCCGCACTCTATCGTTGACCTCCATTCTATCTGGACTATATGTATAGAAGCGGGAAACACCCAAATCCACTTCTTGGGTACATTTACCTGAGAAGCTTCATAATAGTCTTAGTTGCCGGGGAAGAGGTAGAAATACCGTGTCATAGATACTCTTTCAATCGTGGGCATCTGAGCCACTATATTTGGTGTCTCAAATGCACGTTGAACCTAAAATAATAAAGAAAGCCTTTAGAGATTTTCTAAAAAGGAAATCTGACATTCTCACTTAGAAATGTTAAAATTTATTGTATGTATTAAGGTTGTTGCCAGATAGTATGAACAAAGAAATTTTTAGCTTTTCCTTGGATATAGTGCATACACTGGGAACTAGTATGAACATAAGTGTTTCCTGAATGAGCAAGGCTATCAGGATTGGAGAAACACTGGATCTTTGTAGTACTTCATAAAACTTCCTCTTTAAATAAACGTAGGCTATAGGAAGGAACATCAAGAGGACCTAAAGCTTCAGGACTCTAAAAGTGTTTTGCAGATGTTTCTACAAAGTTCTCAGGGAAATAGTTTAAAAGGACAAAAAGATCCTTACCTTTCGAAAAATCTCCTCCAAATGATGATGCTGAGAATATTCTTTGAAGTGGTAGATAATTTGGGAAATGAAGAGCGAACCACTTGTGCTCATTCTCCAAGAACTATTATCTGCAAATAAAGAATATAAAAATATTGAGGGAGGTGGCCTTTGTTTAAGTATGGAAGACACCTAAACCCATAGCTGTTGGATGAAGTTTGATTTTGATGTTTTGGAGGAGATAGAGAGGAAGGTCAAATCTGGATAAAGCTGGGACTACAGGTTTATATAGCAGCCCAAAGAAAAACATCCTGGACTCTCAACCACAATCCCCTTGATTTCCTTACCAGCACAGCCAAAGTTATGACCCTTTGGATTGCAAGTAGTAGAAAAGAACAAAAAACTTTTTTTTCAGAACTTATTTTATATATATATATATATATATATATATATATATATATAAATATATATATAAATTCAGCACTCAACATTCTTTGATTCTGGGTATTCTCTTCATCCATACCATTTCCTAGTATACTTTTTGTTTTGTGAATATCTTTTGAATTACTATTTCTCCTTACCATTGCAATGTGATCAAATATCTTCTATCATAAAAAAGTAAATATTCTAATTATCAGTTTATCTGCAGCTACCATCCTATTTATCCTTCCCTTTAATAGTTCAATTTCTCAAATATATTCTACTCACTAACTTCATTTTTCTCCTCATTTGTTCACGCCTGTCGAGCTTCTCCTTCCCACACTATATTTACCAAATGACTTTCTGCAAGGCCATCCCTGCCCTCCAAGTCATTAAATCTGATGACTTTACCTTTACCTGATCTTTTATTCACATCAGAAACTATTTTATCTCCAATGAATTTTTTCTTGGTAACTCTGACAGCACATACTCTTAGTTTTCTTTTTCATTCTCTGACCATAACTTCTGAGTCTAGTTTGATGATTAATACTTCTATCTCTAATCTTGAACTCAGGAGATCTTCAAGCCCCACATGTAGGGTCTCTTCTCTGTTCTCTGTTTCCAAACAATGATATCTATTTTTAGAATATCAAGTATCATCCTTTAGTAAGCATTTCCAAAAATTCTACCACAGATCTCTCCTCTGAAAAGTACAGCTGCATAACTCTTTACTCTTCATTTCACCTTAAAATATGCCCAGAGCATCTTATTTCAATGAATGCATCACAATCATCTCTTCATAAACTCAAGTCACCTCTATTATCCCTTCTTCCTAACCTGTTATATCCATTAAACCACTAAGTCATATTAATTCGTATCTACTAATTGTTTCTTTGATCTAACAACTTACCTCATTCCTGGACTATTGTTATTACCTTGTAATATTGCCATAGCACTTAAACCTGTCTCCTTATATTTGCTTTTACCAGGCTGTAATCCAATCTCCACAGAATCCCCAAAGTGATCATTTAAAAATAAAAATATCACTTCCTTGCTTAAATTTCACCAAAATTTCCTAATAATTATTAGTGTACAATAATATTAGTAATAAAGTATGTTAGTATAACATACCAAATCCTTCCCTGACCTATGAGGCCTCAGGTTACATGGCTTCTGGTACCTCTCCAAACTTCCCCTTGGTCACTCTCCCTTGGCTACATGCACCAGCCTCACTGGTCCTGTTTTCCAAGCTCCTTTCTTTCTCAGGTCCTCTGTACACATTGCTTTTTCTGTCCGGAATGTTCCTCTCTTACCCTTGGCGTGGTTAACTCCTTCATCTTTCAAATGTGAGCACAGATTTTTCTTTGAAACGCTTATCACAGTTGGCAGTGATTATTTATTTCTGTTATGTTACATGTATATCCTCCCACGCCCAATTAATTTCTCCCTCTCTGGTTTGACTGTACATTTTGTGAGGTGCAGTAACCATGTCTGTTATAGTTGTATATGATATGTGCTGCACCCAGCCCAGTGCTAGCACATAGTTATGTGTATTAGAAATGAATGCAAGAATTTTATATATTAGGCTTTATTCTCTCAACTAAATTAAACAGTCTCTTAGAGTATGTGACTTTAATGTGGAACTCCTCTTTTAAATATATAGTTTCCAAAGTATAAAATACACTGAAGTAGAACTATTCCAGATGTGCAGGGGTGTGCATGGACTTTTTTCCTATTTCATCAGGCTAAACTCTCAGGATCCTCTAGTTCCTTGCTACTCACTTATGGTCATGGACCAACAGCACTGGCATCACCATGGAGATTTTCTGAAAGGTAGACTCTCAGGCCCTGCCCCAGATCTGATGAATCAGAAATCTACATTTTAATAAGAAGCCCACATAATTTCTATGCACATTAAAGTTTGCAATTACTACCCTAGAGCACTTAAAGCTGTGACCTGTATAAACCAGGTTTTAAAAACTGCCTTTATTACCGAAATGGTTGCTGAAACAATGTTGTGGATGGCTGTTAAGCAGATTTTCTACAGACTAGACCATGAAGAGTCAGGAATAGTTTTTTGTTTCTTTGTTTTTTGTTTTTTTACCTTCTACTCTTCTATTATGCCTTTTGTACCAAAGAACGATTTTCGGTCATTGGCAAATTATCCTGAAAGCAGGAACTTGAATGTTAACTAATTTCCTGAGACTATATTCAGATAAGAGGCCAATATGTTCTAGAGTATGTGGAACAAGTATTACAGTTTTCCTGGCTCATTTAATTGCCAGTAGAGGATCAGGTGGACCAAACCATGAGAATGTGATATATTTATGTGCCTGGGTATATTTAAAAAGGAAAAAAAAAACCCTCTTACTTTATTTGTAGGTAGGCTATTTGAAGTCAGGATCTTCACTGAACTTCTGTTTAGTTTGAAAGTTTCCTTCAAAATAAAGACTTAAATTTTTACTTATGAATTCAATATTTTAAATGTATTTACCACGAAAAATATCTCATTAGAGAGGAAATGTTCTTCTATTAGTGATAAGATATGATCATACTTTAGCCTGTAATCTAGGAACTAATTGAGAAATTTTTCTCTCTGAATTCACTTACGTGGAGTTGAAGATTTGAACGCAATGAAGTCCTTCTCCACATGGGTCTTTGTAACTGCATCACTCCAGATGTGACACTGAAAGGTATGGTCATCTCTATACGCGAAGGATCTTCCCATGTCAGCCACCCAAACAGTCCCATCACCTCCTGAGGAGACATTCATGTCATATGAAAGATGTTATATTTAAACACGTACACACACACACACACACACACACACACACACAATCTTTTTTTTTACCATTACTTCAGTATGTCTTAACATAAAATTTATTAAAAATGAAAATATCTTAGTACTAGAAAAACTACCTCACTGACTATGAACCACACAGAGACCACTTAAGTTTGGAATAAACTTGTTGAACTTCTGGTTGCAAATGGTCGGGGCATTCATAATTATTCTAGGCTACTTATCATTTCTTTAGGAATGGTATAGACTTAACACATTTTCTGGACTGGACTAAGAGTAGTACTAAAATGCTGTTTTTCTCACCCATCTTTAGGAAAATGAAGGCTTGACATCAGGCTAAGAGAGTAAAGGGTAAGGTCACTCCCTGGGTTTCCCCAACTCAGACTCACTGCCTCTGCATGCTTGCATGATGATGATTTTGGGTTTGTCTCTTAGACTCTGGCAGTTACGGTTGTTGAAAATCTGGAAGATTGTATCATCGTGAAGTATATCTGGCTCTCGTTCTGTGTGCTTTGTCCCACAGATTCCTTCCAGGATGCCATGAGACATAAACACCAAGAATGTACTGTCCGAAGATCGGTGTTCTTGCCGGGCAGCAAACTGTAATAACGCTGTTTCCATTTCCTAAAAGAGACTCCATAATTATTATGAAGGCACTCTCCATATATACTTTGTACTCAAATAATACAACAGATGGCGTTAACAAAAAAGCTGCAGGCACCAAAGAATCAGGTGGTTTGGATTTAGGAAGCTGCTGGGGGGTAAAGTATAATGAGGGGCAAGTGACATGACGAGTCTCCAGTAGGAAGGCTTAGCTTTCATCCGTTTTACATGTTGGAGTTCCTATAAATTTTCATTCCAAAAGAGATAATAGTTTTCTACTGACAAAAACTATAAACGCTTAACAAGTTTCTTTAAAATGGAACAGCAGAAAGTTAGGTTTAAAATGGCTTGTCTAAAATCATGCAAGGTATTTTAGGGAGAGCCCGAATCATGACTTTGTGTATGAGTATAATTTTTTTTTACTACATATCCGGTTTTACATTTAGACACATGATATCGACATTATAAAAGTCTCATGAGCTCCTTATGTAGGTATCAGACAATGTCAGGGCCCAGGCCCTCCATCTCACCTGTACTAAAAATAATAGATGTCACCTGGACTGAGGCCTTTAGAAAGATCCTACATTTTTAGTGAAATACTAGTACATAAAGGTGATCTAAATATTTGATATGAGACTGTGCATTCGAGGAGACTGAAATTCTGGAGATCCTACTCTGGAGCAAATGTAATTCTTATATATTTTGTTCTTATAGCTGTTAAGAAAAAAGTTCAAAACTGTTTATGGTGGTAGGAAGCTTGTCCCACTCTGCTGAGTCATTACCAGAGCTGTAAGATTCATTTTTACAACCACTGAGTATCCAAGGCTTTCAAGTAGGTCTTGCATCCCTGAAAGATCAACTTCAGAACCATATCGGTTACTAAGGTGATCAAATTCTTTGTTGCAGATGATGAGGGCCAGGCGTGTTCGGCCTTCCTTCTCCATCACTGGATATATCTGAAATTAGCAGACACAAAGTGAGTCGCCCCAGGGATCCTCCCTTTTGCCTCTAAAGTCTTTACAAAACAGGCCTTTACAATTATAGAGTTGGTGGCTGGAGAGCTTGGGAATGGAACTGTGTCCTCAAGAGGAAAGAGAAAGGACCACAGACTGAAAACATGTAGTAGGAACTTGGCTTTGGTTAGGTGGTGGGTAGGAGTTCAAAGTGTGTTCCAGGATGATATGGAAGAGACAGGAAATCCAATGTAAGGATCACTTACTTAATTAGATAACATTCTATGCCATTTGTCTTTATCTTAAGGCCCTTATAACAAGAACTAAAATTCCCAGTATGTCCCCAGTATCTTATTTGAGTGAACAAATCTGTGTGTCTCCCTGTTCCAAAGCAAAATACCTCAGCTGCCTTTGTTGTCTTCAGTTTATGGAAATATTCAGGAGGACAAAGCTTTAACTTATGAATGGGTTGGGAAGCCTGGGCACCCAGAGGAGCTAAAAGAAAAAGAAAAAAATAAAATAAAACAAAAACCTCACTAAGCAGTAACATCCACTACTTTGCAATTGTGCAGCCCTTTTGAGTGGGTTTTCATTCTTTAGAAATGCTTACTGCCACCCCACCAAAATATTTTATATATAAAATGACTAAAACAAAAGCCTGAGTATTCCTCTTTTTTTCTTTCTGTCTCTTACTGGCCCTACCATATATTTCTGTTTTTGTTAGTGGTCACGACATTGACTAGTCTTTCAAACCCAACATATTAAACTCACATAAACACAGTATGTAAGATTTAGAAGGAAGTCTAATGTTCATTTAGCCTAGTTAAGTCATTATTCACATATTTAACTCCATTTTCAATACCCCTTCTTTATTATTACCACTCTCTGAAAGATCTCCACTAACAGGGAACTTAAAATATTCTAAAGCATTTTTGAACCATTCTGAAGGACCTTATAAGTCCTGGTATGTATTTCCCACATTGAGAGCATAAAAAAAAAAAAAAAGAAAGAAAAGAAATCTACTTTCTTTCCCTGTGAAAGTTCATGAATTCCTCTATGAATTAAATACATGTCCCCATTATTTTATATACATGCCCCATATAAACAATTATTGTATTTTGTGTTTATTGTACTGTAAGCCTAATTAAGACAGGGAAGGTGTCTTTAATCTTTGTATTATCAGTATCTAGCATGATATCTGGCACAGATTAATGTTACCTTGCATGGTTTATAACTGCTTGTCAATGAACAGTTGCCTTCGATTTGAAAATAGCTACCAAGTATCTCCTGATTCTTTGTTTTTTCTTAGGTCAACAAGCCGCTGTTCCTTTTAAATTTTTTTTCATAAGAATGATTTCACCTTAATCAACAAATCCATCAGTTTACCTACATCTATACACACTTACTCTAGTTTTTCCTCCTACTGCAAAGAAAAACACAATCTTCTTCCTATATAAGAGTGATACCTCTACTTATGCTCTGAGTTCCATTCCCTCTCACCCACAAGGACTTTAGTCAGGCATTTATTCAGCTGTGCATTCTACTTCATCAATTTCTCGTGCTCTTCCAACTGTGTTATTCCCCATTGGCATATCAACATGCCTTCATATCAAGGTACCTTTTAAAAACACCATTGCCTTGACCCTGTTTCTTCTCCATCTGAGGAATTATGCTGAGGAGTGGAGCAGAAACCACTTCTCAGCATAATTCCTTAAAGGCTTTGTCTACTTTCACTATTTTTTATTTTTTTCAACTCAATTTTTTCTTCTGGATGCAATGTAGACTGGTTCTAATCCTTACCACTTAAGTGAAGTACTTGATATCAAGGTTAACACTCACCAATTTTTGCTTTCTTTGCATTTAACATGGTTAGACACATCTTGCTTCTTGAAAAAAGATGTTTTCTAGTCTTCTGTGATGCTGCATTTTCCAGCCAATCTTTATAAATCTGTCTTCATTGCTGGCATTTCATCTTCTGCCATATGTCCAAAAGTTGGGTTTTTCTATGTTGGGACCTCTGTTATTATCTATCAACATTTCTCCCTAGGACCCCTTTCAGTCCCATCATTTTAAATTCTGTTTACATGATGAGTTCAAAAATTTATTTCCATCCCTGATTCCTCTTTGAATTCCTCAGTTGAACATCCATCTGTTTATTCAACATGTACCCTTGGTTGTAGCACATGTTTCAAACTAAACATGTACAAAGGACTCCTGGCATTTGTCCACTGCTGCAAATCTGTTTCTCCTGAGTTTACTCTCAATCACAAGTTTTCTGTATCTCAGTAACTTGTTCCTAGCTGCCAAACCAAAAAAATCCTAGAATCACAGTTGATTCCTTCATTTCTTTTATTAACCCATACCCAATCCATCTGTAGTTTCTGTTGACCCTACCTCCAAAATAGATCCCAAATTTAATGTCTTATCACTATCTCTATTACTACAACTCTAATCTAAAAGCTATTATCTCAACTGATACATGCAAAAGGCTTTTAACTAGACTTTTTGTCTCTATGCTTGTATATTTCTCCTCTGCTTAAAAACTTCTGAAAGGTTTTCCATTGCAAATAAAATTAAAATCCTTCTCCACTTTCTAAAAATCTTTAAATGGTATATCAATGACAGTCTGGCTCTTTAGCAGCTCCTCCTACCATGTTCCTCCCTTAATTTCCAATTCTCCAGTCAGATTGGCCTTTTCTATGACAAGATCATTCTAAATCCAGAGCTTTTGTTTTTGTTTTTGTTTCCCCTTTCCATGGAATGCTTTTGATTTAGAACCTGTCACAACTCCCTTCCTATTGTTCAGGTATATACTGAAATATCACTTCAAAAGACTTCTCAAAACTATCCACCCTGGCTCATGCTTGCACCATTCACCAATCCCAACAACATCACTTTCTATGGCTTAATCCCCTTTTCTCTTGAATGTTCCTTGAAATTGCACTATTTATTTTTTTGGATGTTTATTTTATATCTGCCCTCACTACACTGCAAACTCCATATAAGCAGGATTTTTGTATTTCTTTTTGCTATAAACCCAGTAGTTAGGATAGCATACAGTAAGTTTTCAACTAATATATGCACATATATAATATATAAATAGATATCAAAATGAATAAAGATTATAAAGTTTTTATTCCTTTGTTCAGGAACTTTGAAGATATGCTACTCACAAGACAACACTGTCACTACTCCCTTTCTAGACATTATCATTCTTTAAAGTGACCCAATATTTCATCAGTTTCTTTGGTTACCATATAGAATACACGATTCATACTATTTTTTTAATGTGCTTTTCTTAATCACATCCATTTTCAGTTTTGTGAGGTTGGTAGTTGCTTATATCTTAGATACTTTATAAATCCCTTTAAAGATATTATTAATCCCATTTAAAAATATGAACTTCAGAAAAGCTGTGATGTGTGGTATGTGTGTGTGTGTGTGTGTGTGTACCAGAGAGTATGGTTAGTCAATGGGAGATGAGCTTAATGTACAGATTTCTTGTGCTTTATCCCATTTCTCTTTCCATTACACCATAGAGACTTTCTTACATGCTTTAACTTAAATAATGTCATTATGTGCCCATGATATTACCTGTCAGAGGTAGAACAAATGCCTGGCACAATCCAGCATGCTCCTCAAGTTTAGCATCTTCATTTTCACTTCCAGATTCTTAGGAGCATGAAAGAGCAGGTATGTGTGTGTTAATCTTACTTTTGAGAAACTTTGTTAGGGGCAGAAAGAAGAAATACCTTACTTCCTAAACCTAAATTTCATGGTCTTTTCACTATAACACAGGGTCCCTGTATAGCTGCCTTCTCCTAAGTGATGTATAAGGACTCCCAAAAGCCATTGGGTTTTAATGGCAGTTACCTGTTAGAGGGAGAGCCAATGCCTGCAGTGATCCAGCTTCTTCCTTATCTGTACTTTCTTCACTTTCACTTTCAGATTCTGAGTTGGAATGAACAAAAACTTAAGCATCAATGCTCACTTCAAAGGTTATTTCCAAAGATAAACATTGACCGAGAACACACATGTCCTCGATCTTATCAGAATACATTCTGACAATACTAGAAGTCCCAGAGTTTCTGACTGTGATGTAAGATTTGGGGGCAGTTACCTGTTGAAATAGAAGATTTACTGTCCTTAGATTCATCATCCTCACTTTCAGGATCAGACTCTGAAACAAAATAAAATAAAATAAAAATTTATTAGCAGAAGTAAATTTCTCAAACCTACACACGTCAAACTGTTTTTCCTTGCACCAATAAGGAAAGGACTATGTTCAGTGTGGGGCTACCTTATAAAGCACGGAGATTCGCTCATTCTCTAAACTCCAAGGGTTTTGGGTTTTTTTTTTTTTTGGTTTTGAGTTTTTTTAGAGAATTGTAATATTCTGCCAAATGAAAAAAGGGGCAGACTTTCTGAGGAACAAGGAAGGGCTCATTATCTTCCTATTTATATACTACAAGGAATACATTCTTTCATCAAGGCTTTTCTGCAAAAGCATTTTTTTATTCTGAGGAGGGAAAATACATGTTTTTACAGAAATTAGTCTTTCAACAACCAAGATATAATCCTGGAGTGATGTTCCAAAGATTTAGAATATTTCCCATGTATATATTTTACTTTAAAGTAAGGGTCAGCAAACTATAGCCTGAGGGCTCAACTCAACCTAAGACCTATTGTTGTAAATAAAGGTTTATTGGAACACATCCACACTCATTTTGTACTTATTATACAATATGTTGCTGATTTCATGCTACAGCAGAAGATTTGAGTAATTGTGACAGAGACCATATGGTCCAAAAAGCTTAGGATACTATCTATCCTTTATAAGAAAAAGTGTGGTCACCCATGTTTTAGAAAGACACATTTGTATTCTAGCCTGAAATTGCCTACTGTCCTCCTTTAACAAGGAGAAATACAGGTTCTTAGAGATTTATCCCTGTAATAAGCCATGCTAAGCAGAAGGTAATGGATTTTTTTTTTGTACTGAATATTATATGTTTGGGAATGACTCTAAAGTCCACAGTGTACAGCCAGAGTAGCACAGGTTGGATAATTCTAATTAAATGTTATACAACTCCAGTACCATTGATTCATTTGACAAATATTTACTCAGCACCTATCAGGTGCCATTTCTATCAGTTTGGCGTATATTCCTGAACAAAGCAAACATACGTGCCTCATGGAACTTACATTTTAGCCGGGAGACATATAATAGAAAGAATAAGTAAATGTTATAGAATGAATGAAAGTGACAATCACTTTAAAAAAGGAAAAAAGAAAATGTGCATCATTGAAAACTGACTGGGGATGTTGGAACAGGGACTAAAGTAGATCAGGGCATTTTGAAGTATTAAATGAGAAAGTCAGGCAAAGAAGATACTAGAGATGTGGATAGTTTTTTCTCCACATGCAATTAGAAATAAGAAGACAATGGGTGTAAAGATTGTAGATGGAGAACAAATTATTAGCCCTTTGGCCTGAGATACTCACCTAATTTTATCTGCTTCTTGGTTTGGAAGAGCCGATTCATCAATATTTTGCCTGCCACTTCAGTTTTCTCAGTGAGATCTTCAACTAGGCTTTCAGTACTGTTCACGATGAGGTTCACTCCTTTCCCTATTCTTTGTAACTTATCCCTATTTAACACATTTTTTTCCATAAAATCATCAAAAATGCCATCCAGGAAGTTCCTTGCAACTGACTTAACCATGTCGATAGGATCTTCTTGAGGTCCCTTTTCTGTGAGAAAGATAGGATTTTACATGTAGACAGGACCTTCTATATCTGGTTCTAGGCCAGTGGTTCTCAAATTTCATTGTGCCAGAGAAAAAGCTTGATTAGCAGAACTGCCTATCACAAAAATTCTGATTTGATACCCCATTCACAAAAATTCTGATTTGATAGTCCCTGACCGAGTAGCTCAGTTGGTTAGAGCATCCTCCTGATACACCAAGGTTGCGGGTTCAATCTCCAGTCAGGGTATTTCCAAGGAGCAACAATGAGTGTATAAATGGAACAACAAATAGATCTCTCTCTCTCCCTGTCTCTCTCTCTCTCTCAAAAAATTGATTTGATAAATCAGGGTGGATCTATCAAATTTGCATTTAATTCTATTTCATTTCCATTAATTTTCATTTCTAACAATTCCTGAGATGATGCCAAAGACCACATTTAAAATAACACCTCTCTTATTCAAGTCTGTGCCTTTTTATAAATGGGAAAACAGTTTCAGAGACTTGAAGCAACTTCACTAAGGAGGTTAATGATAGCTGACTGTGTTCAGTCTTTGTATCACCCATTATCTATTCATTTCCTGTCACATTTATCAATGCTTAACTTAAAAACACATTATATTCAACATGTATAACAGTAAAGCATAAACAAATTACACCAGTAAAAGAATGCATTTTGTTTTCATGGACAGGGCTGAGGGCAGCTCTGTTAGCAGAGACTGAGAGTGCAAACCATAGCTGGTTTGCTTGCTGTGGCAATCTAATGTCAGAGAGAGAAATATGGAGGAAATGCAAGTTACTCTGTTCCACAGCAAGGCCTGTCATCCGAACAAGAGGACACTCATAACATGGGTGAGAATTTTGTGTCCGTATTAGTACAAGAAAAGCCTAAAATCACAGGAAAGGTTTAAGAACATAGGAACAGATATTTTACACTTTCTCCTCTGTCCAAAAAGCCATAACTTATTGACTGAAATAGTTCGTGTTAGCATAGTCATTACAGTGACCCAAGCTCCTATCATCACCCACATACTAGAGTAAAATGATTTTGTCTGGTGAGTGTCCCTCCTATGGACCTTTTTATCTCTCCGTCACCCCTCCTGAGCTGTAACCCCCCGAAAACACAGCCATAAACAATGGAAAAACAGTAGCCACTCACCCGCCATCGCTACTTCGGTTTCCTGGGCAATAAAAGCAGTGAAAATGAAAGCAACCTTATTTCTTCTTTCAGTGGACTCTACATGTTCACGTTGCCTAAATGGGAAACCTCTACTCAAATTCTCTTGTTCTTTGCCAGGATAGAATTTGACTCTTCCTCAGATTTGTAGCTTCTTCCCTTTGGAAAACAGAGAAAAACCTGTTTTTTAATTTTGATAGAACAAAGTCTGCAGAATTACACACATACACACAGAGTTTCTGTTCTGGTTTCCAATCTATTTTTAACACACTTACTAAATCAAATTGACATTTATTTGCCTCTGTTTCACCCCTTAGCCACTAAATTGGAGGGAGGACCATCTGACTGATGCCTGCTTAACCCTGGAAAGGAAGTGTTCATGTGGAAGGCTTGAGGGGAGCAAGAAACCAGCTGAAAACTGCCTAACTTAATAGGTGAATCACTGTTTTAAAACCCCAAATAAGTAATCTCCTTTCTTCTCTCTCTCCTTCTTTCCTTCTTTCTTTTTGTTAGAAAGTAAAAAACAACTTTATTTTGTACATTGAAAAAGATAAGTTCCATTTTAGTGAAATGCACATAAAGATTATTTTTCAGTGTAACTAACATTAATAAATAAAGAGGACATCAGAACTATTATACTGTAGTTAAATTCAATGGTATCTACAATGGAGACTACACATATTTTAAGAAAATTTCAGTACTCATTTTGAAAATAAATGTTTAGATGTGTGGTTTAAAAAATTCAGTTTAGATTTATTAAACAATTGTATATATCAATACTTGAAATACTGCATAATTTATAGTATTTGATGAAACAGGATAGCTTATTTCCCCATACTCATTAAACTTAGGCCAACCTTTTCTCTCTCTTTCCTGATCTCCTTAGTTGTTAGTTCTGGGTGTTGTTTATCCATGTATTCCTGTGTATATTTTGTATTTGATAAATACAAAAAGGACTCTTCTACTTAATTAAAAAGGCAATAGTTTGCCATTAAAATTAAACAATAGAAAAATTTTTTAAATACAGTATGATCATCTAGCTTTTTTCTTTTTGTATATATCAATTACATTTTTAATTGTCTATATTATTAATATAATTATATATATTTTTACAAACATATATGCATACAAACACAAAGCATTTCCATTGTTTCATACAATATTTATTCAGATTCCTCAATATATTTACTCCTGTCTTTGTCCTTCTTTCCTTCTTGTATCTCAAGAACATGTTAGTATTTCAATTAAAGCAGTTTGCTGGTTGCAAATTCCTTCAGTTTTTCTTTGCCTAAAAATATATTTATTTTTCCTTTCCTCTTTTTTAAATTTATTTTTATTTTATTTTTTCCATTACAACTTTTCCCCCTTATATCCTCTTCCACCTCCACACACCTGCCTTTTCTAATCATCTAGCTTCTCTAATCTCTCACTACAAAGTTACCACAATTTATGTTTACTTTACATATTTGTGAATTTTTTCCTATGTTTTTAAAAAACACTTAATACAATACTGATTTTAGATAGCCCCAACCATTGGCCTCCCTGGATCCATGTTTGCCCTGACTGCAGACTGGCATTATGACTTGGTTTTGGCAAACATGATGCAGCAGTGGGACATTGAACAATTCTGAGCCCAGATCTTTGGAAGCAGGGTGAATCTCTCCCTCATGACTGCCTGCACCCACAAGCAATTAAGTCTGCCCTAGACAGCTGAAAGATTAGAGGCGTTACATGGAGGAAAGCCCAGCTGTGTCAACCAAGGTTTCCTCACCCTACATCACCTTTAAGCCAGATGCTTTTCAAACATATGAGAGATCCCAGCTATAGCACAGAGCCCAAAACCAAGGAGCTGCTTAAGTGTTCATGATATTTAAAAAAAAAAAACAAAAAACAAAACACTCGGTGGACTAGCAGATGTGGACATGCCATTTATTACTCACATTACAGGGGAAGTGCACCCACGGTGTCAGGTTGGTGTGAGAGAGACCACATCTCCCCCAGACTGAGGGTCATTATAAAGGGTCCCAGACAAAGGCAGCATGGGTCCAGGTTGCACAAACCTATGCATGGCCCAGAGCTACATTACATCAGTGTGTGCATGCAGATGGAAAGGATCAAGAAGCTGTCACAGGACAAGAAGCCACTCCCAAGAGAAGATAAGGAAGCAATCACAATCCATTCTTAAAATAATACAGATTCCTTCTTGCCAGAGACACTCTGACTAGCCACTAGTCATGGGAGGGGGAAAAGCCATGTATTAACCCCGCACCAGCAATGTCAGCGGAGATACTTATCCCACATTCAGGTGATCTCAGACACATGGATAATCCCAGAAACAAGAAGACCTCTCAGTTGACTGGTGGGTATGTGAACCTTAGTAAATACTTACTCATTTAAACTACTAAGTTTTGGGGTAGTTTGTTACTCAGCTATAAGTAACCGACAAATACATACTTACCTATGCCTTTTTTTCCCATATTATTAATAATTTGTTTTTTAAATTTGAGAATAGATGAAAATACTTATAAAAGTCAACACTTTAAGAACTATCTCAATTTTTGATGATTGTATAATATTAAAAGTGTTGCCAGGTTATAATTTTAGAATGTCAAATTAATAGATCTATAAAATGATTAATCCAGTAATACTGAAAAGAACATAATGAAAAGTATCTTCTCCAGTACAGCCCTTTCCACTTTTAATCCCACATCTTACATTTCATTTCTCTAAAATATTCTTTTTTTCTGGTGCTAATCTTCAGAACTCTCAACATGCTTATTTTATCCTCCTATTTCCTGATACTAAATTAAAACAATGTCTTTGATTACTTTAACAAAAAAGAGATGTAGTTTACTTATACTGCCTCACTTCTACAAATCTTACCTAATATTTGGTATGATTTGAATTATTTTCTTAATTAACATTTTAATATTAAATAACATTTAACCTTCATTTTTTCTTCCATCGGTGTTGCTCAGTAACAGTTCTCCTCTATGTAAATTGATGATAGTTGGCTTCATACAATTCCCTCCATCTTCTTTCACTTCCAGTGATACTGCCATTTTATTTATTTATTTATTTACTTACTTACTTACTTATTTTTAATCAATCTTACTTCTTTCTTCTAAGGTTTCTGAGGCTCCTGAAATTACACTGTGGCCCCAGAACAGAGACAACTGACCTAGGGTTTGCAGGTAGAATGAGGCCCCATTTCTATCTATCTGACTGAGGATTTCAGGCTTCTTTATTTTTAATTTTATGGGTACAAAATTGAGGGAATAATTTGTCAAGGATTTGTTTAATTTGACTTTTTCCCACCTCGTCTCTCTCCACACTTCTGAAACTACCCTGCCACCATGTTCTCATGGATGCAGTCTTTACTTGGGTTTCTACTCCTTGTCCTGTAACCAAGGTGAATCCCTGGTCCCCATATCTGGACTTGTTCTTTTAATATCCAACAAATCCTTACCACGTGGATTCGGCTATTTTCCCAGTTTTGTTTATGTTTAGCTGGAATTGTGACATGCTTCTGAAAATATGATTTTTGACAGATTCACACATAGCTCTGAAATATGTTGTGGAAAGATAATTGGCTAATGTCCATGTAGTAGCTCTCTCTTCTTTGAGAATTAGGCATTGAGAATATTTGAAGTAAAATGAGATGGATAATGCATAATATTATTATTAAACATTTGCCAAAAGTTATTCTAGTTGAATATGCAATATCAAGTAATATTTAATTAAAAGTTACAATTTCTAATCTACACTTTTGGGACCATCAGAATTTCTTTTTCTTTTGAATTTTATTTATTTATTT